TCCCATCTATCACAGTGATAACCTGAATGCTTTCATTCCGGATGTAGCCGGCCATGTTAGGGACGTCGGAGTTTGGTCCGAACCGATGGCGACGGTGGGGCCAACCTCAGTACAGGACCGGCCGGATAATACACCCAATTCCACCTCCCCCTTTGGGGCAATGCGTAGAAACAGAGGAAGCGCTCGTGCCACATGTCACTGGCATCAGCTTTCGGTACTTACTATTCACTTGACCCATGGAATCCAGCACCTCAGGCCTTCCGCAATGGCCCGCCGTGCTGGGGGTATGTAAGCGCTCGCATGACCGTCCCACGGTGCCGCCCACTCTGCCCCTCCGCCCTTCCTCCGACTTAAGGTGTTAACCGATGGAAATCTTCAACAAACATCAGGCAAGATGGCCGAGCGGTCTAAGGCGCTAGCTTCAGGTGCTAGTCAAGTAATTGGCGTGGGTTCGAATCCCACTCTTGTCACAAGATATCAGGCGCGCGAGCAACTGAACCTTTTGCGTTTTGCAAAACTTGGTGGATCTTTTGAAATGTTCTGTGATGGTCGAGAGTTGGTGGGAATGAATTTTGCTCGAGGTGTGGCGCTAGCGGGGTGTATTTTTTTGTGGCGTTTTTCTTTACATAGTGGGGGTGGCTTGACGAGCTATCAGAGCGTCTCGACTACACTCATTCCAATGGGAGCACTTGCTTATTATCGGACTTTGGTGGAAGGAAGGTCTGCGGGTGATGATGAAGTACTTGAATTATCGCACTAGAGATATGATTCCTTGTGGGAATGATGTGGACATGTGCTTCTAAACCTCCCAAGACCAGGCTCACAAGTAATTGTTTGGCAGAGGCAGCCATACCGAGTCTGCAGCATTTCACGCCTGTACATATGATGAAGTCAAATAGCAGGATCAAATTTGATTTGCTAAACACTACTACAATGATCCCATTCGCGATATCGATCTCCAAAATTAGCAAGTTGCTCGCTTATAACTGCAGGCCAACTAACAACCACTGAAATATGATCACGGAGTTATCAAAATCACCATGACTACATCCAAAGTCTCATACCCTCATCTCACCCAAAAAGAGCAAAACACATTTGCACACTGGGCCGAAGCCAACAACCAAAAATACGCACCGAATATGCACCGGGCAATGCAGATATATCCAACCGAGATTCTCACTGTTCGACACACACACAGACACACACACAGACATAAACACACATGCTTGCGTACACAGACTATCCTGGCATCAAGCCGAAGATGGAAGAGGCTCATTTCAGGCCGAACCTTACCTGTCTAGACCAACGGAATTGGTGTAGCTCGGCTTCAAGAGGAGGTGGAGGGGGAGGTGCCGGGCTGCGTCTGCGACTGCAGAGCCTCGACGAGCGAGGTGAGCTTGTCGATCTTGTCGTTGAGCTCCGAGATGCGCACCTCGACCACGGACGGCGCGTCAATGTCGTCGGCGAATTCCGCGGCGCGGGTCTGCGGGCGCGACGAGTGGCGCTCCGCGGGACGGGGGGACCTTCCGGCGCGGTAACCCGACGACGGGCGGTTGGCCTGGAAGACGCCGAGCGAGCGCTGCTTCGTAGCGCCGGTGAGGCCGCGGGGGCCCTTGAAGCCGGCGTACTCGTCGTAATGGACGCGGCGGCGGATGCTCTCGTAGAGCTGGATCATGCCGACGATGGGGAGGTGGGTGGCCTTGAGGAGGAGGATGCGGCCGTGGCGGAACTTGTCGTCGGAGGGGAGGAAGAGGCGGAGGGGCCGGAAGATGACGAGGGCGATGAGGTTGAAGGGCGGGTAGAAGTGCGTGAGGCGGTTACTAGTCGAGGCCTCGAGCACGTAGACGCTGTAGACGTAGAGGTACTCCTCGCGGGCGTGGGTGATGACGCGGGAGAAGGAGTTGGAGAGCATACCCGTCAGGGAACCCATCAAGAGGAAGGAGGAGAGGATGATGAACATGATCATGAGCGGGGGGCCAAAGACTTTATCAATGTCGTCCATGATTTCGATGCCGACGTAGGAGGAGCCGAAGAAGATCTTTGTGAGGATCATGGTCATGTGGGCAAAAGTGTAGGCGTCCTGGCCGATGAGGGAAAAAGTGGTGAGGAAGCCGAGGTAGACGATGACGACGAGGACCATGAATTTCACGAAATCCTTGCCCATTTCTTTCAGACAGGGGATAAGGGTGCCCCAGTACGGTGACAAGCTGAGGAGGGAGAATACACGCGGCACCATGAAGAGAGCCTCGAGAGCAAAGACGTTGAAGGCTGTGTCGGTCATCTTCATGTCGTGGTTTGCGATGCCGATAACCCCTGCGACGTGTTAGTTGTTGCTGGCCACAGCGTAGCAGGGTCGCTTACTCAAAACAGCAAAGGTGATACCGATGCCTATCATAATCATGTCAAACAGGTTCCATACGTCCGTGGCGTAGAAGATCGTTCCGGCATCGGCCCATTCGCTTAGTTCGTCATAGAGGAAAGCAGCGAGCCAGACGTAAAGGACGATTTCATTGTGGGTGATGCGTTCAGTGTTCTGCTCGACGAGCACGGAGTAGTACAGGCACAGGAAGATGAAGAAGAAGAAGGCCTCCCAGAACTTGAGGTACTTTGGCACACGCAGGCGGGAGAAAATGTCGGTCGTGTGGGCGTTGTAGAAGCGGGGCTTCTTCTCGGCATGGACCGAGAGGCTGTCCCAGAAGATGATGTCGCCATTCCAGATGCCCGTAACAATCTTCTGCACGACATGCTGGCTCAAGAAGCGTTTGGCGTCGGCAACAGCGGCGATCTCGAGGGCGTTGAGGTTGGTGAATGGTGAGGTCGGGTCGTCTTCCTCTTCCTCGTCCTGGTCGGCGTGCATGCTCATGGTGAGCCTGGACAGGGAGGACAAGAGCTGGTAGCGTTTTGCGCTGCTCCCGGGACGAACTGAGGCGCGGCGGCTGCCGCCGCGGTTGGACCAGCTGCCGCCCGACAGCAGAGGGGAGTTTTCATTGCTCTCGAGATCCGCGTTGGGCGGCGGGGTTGCCGGCTGCTTGGGGTCGGGAATCTCATAGAGGCAGAAGTCGACGGCTTCGCGCTCCGACAGGCGAGTGAGGAACCGCCAGGCGACAATCTCACAGGCATTGGCGCGGGCTTCACAGAGGCCCTTGTTGGACTCGGCCTCGTCGACAGCATAATGCCACTTCAGCGCGCTGGAATGTGTTAGTCGTTGAAATGATGTCTCTGGCCACTGTATCACATGGACCACATGGAAGAGTTGGCCACATGAGAGGAATTCGGTGTTGACTTACAGAAGGGCGTTGACAATGGCACGGTTAGTGCAGGTGGCACTGAGGTGATCGACCAAGACTCGCAACGGCTCACCGGCCTGGGTGGTGCGCAGCTGCTCAAAGGTGCTCGGGAGCACAATGACATCGGTGAAGTATCTAGACCGGATCCGTCAGCAAACTTCGGTCAAACGTCTTCCGTCCAGGGGCGGCGGGAAAGCCTCAACGGGGGATAAATTATGAGACGAAGCCGTTTTCTGGAAAACTTACACGGAGAGCTTCTTAACCACCTCCCGGAAAGAGTCGTCAGTGTCGATGTCGGGCAGATCAAACGTATCGAAGTGCAAGGACACGGGGCTCATGTCCCGGGACTTTGGCATTTTCTTGGACTTGACGCGGATAGGCATTTTTGCTGGTGCTTACCGAGTGCTAAGTGGCGCACACGCAATCCTGCAGCCGAACAACTCGGATTGGCCAATGGGTGAGAAGATGCTCCTTTTCGGTGGTCAGCAATTTGGGGGAAATTCTGACTTGCAGCTGTGGAAGCAAACAGCAACGACAACAGCATGCAGCAAAAGATGCAACTCAGCCACGGGGGAGCACGAGGCGGTAAACAAAAGAAGAGGATGCCGAGCCTGAGGACCGCCGACGACGAGATAGCTGGAGCTTTCCTGCTGCTGCGATGAACAGGGGGTAAAGTGGACCCCGTTTTTACTAGAAACGAGGAGTTTAGCGGGGCCTGCGCGGGGTCGGATCAACTGACCGCCATTGGCCCGTGCCTTTGTTTCCTTTTGTCTAGGGTTTAGCGCCAAGAAATGGGCGGCGGATTTGCCAAAAAAAAATAAAAAAGCTTCGTTCACGCTCTGCAGAATGGAATACTTCACGTGTATTGATTTCGTGATGATGGGGGAAAAGTTTAGCAGCCACGGCTACAAACGGCTTCATCTCTGCGCACTGAGATCGCTCTTTGAAATGTCATGAATATGGGCCAATCTTCTACAGTCCATAGGGCATACTGAGCGTCGCATACCCGCAAAGACAATAGCCGATGTATTGACTGCTCATGCCAAGCTCATTACGGCATCCATTTCTCTGATTTACGTTACGTTTTCGTGGCACTCGCGATGGATCCTCCTCTCACCAGGCCAAACCTGGCTTCCAATCGTCCACTCGCGTGCCAGAGAAATTTCAGAATAGGCAAGTAAGCTTCTGATGTCCCCACCAAAGAGGCTTGCCTTTGTTCTTGATCTATCAGTCACCTATCAGTCAATGATCAGGGTTTAGACGCCTCATCCACGTGTTGAGCTTCAGCTCTGGAGATGCAGCGTCTTGGACCAGGACGCGTCATGATGTATGCATCAGCCGCAAGAACGTGGATTGTTTCTAGCTGTAAGGCTGGCTTGGCGGGTTGAGCTTGAATAAGGTAGAAAACCCTTGGCATTTGCGCCCCGTCGAAGTGCAACTTTGGTGCTCTGGTTCAATGGGTGGCTGCCTAGCTTCTCGAAGGATTCGGGGGCTTTTTCGTCCAGTGACGCGGCGCTGTATTAGTGACGCGGCGCTGTATTGACGAGGAACCCAACACGAAAGTTGCAGAGCTGAGCCTCATTTTGCATTCTTGATGAATGCCTGTGACGCACAACAGCGAGCCGGTAGGGAGTGGGATATAACATTCGCGACTTCAGACGTGAGTTCGGACGGATTGAGACGACAAGCTCAACAAACTGATTTCAAACAGTGATGGCTACTCTTTCGTCCACACCAACATTTACCAGTGCGTCTGCTGCGAGCGTCACTTCGTCCGACTCGCTGCCATCATGCACAACGGCAGTCCCGGGTAAATACGGACACGTACCGATCGATGCTTGCAACTCCTACTATGCCTTCGATCCCAGCTTTGAAGGGAATACCGTTTTCGCAGTTCTTTTTGGACTGTCATTCGTCGCGCACATCGCCCAAGCCATCATGTACAGAAAGGTAGGCGAGGGTGCTGGCTTAATTCAATAGCTCAAGCTGACCATGACAACAGAGATTCTGCTGGGTTCTTTGCGTCGGCGCTTCATGGGAATTGACAGCCTTCATTCTCCGGTCCCTCGGCGCCAGGGACCAACAGCGGATTGGGTACCAGATTGGGGGGCAGCTTTTGTTTCTGCTAGCTCCGCTATGTAGGTTCTTCACCCGTATTAAATGTGTGACGAAGCAAAGAGTCAAAGCTGACGCCGGTCAGGGATCAATGCATTCGCCTACATGCTGTCGGCAAGACTCGTGTACTTTGTCTTGCCTGATCAGAAAGTGTTCCGCCTCAGAGCGACGGCCCTCACAAAGATTTTTGTGACCATGGACGTCGTCTGCTTCCTGGTGCAGGGGGCAGGCGGCTCGATGATGTCCAATACGGAGGCGACATCGGACGACCCCATCTTGCGAGCCGGCAAGCAGGTGTACATGACCGGTTGCGGCCTGCAGCTCGCCTTCATCGTCGTCTTCTGCGGACTCATGGGTCGCTTCTACGTGAAGATGAGGCAGGCGCAGAGGTTCGACCTCAATTTGAAACGGATCAGGGCCATGGTGCTGGTGATGTTTGTGGTTCTAGTTCTCATCATTGTAAGTGAAATGTCTGGTTCTGCGACCTCCCCTGCATGGCAGAATGTTTGACAAGACGGGATGAACGGACCGAGCTGACATTTCGCGGAGATCCGGATCATCTTTCGGTTGGCCGAGTTCGGACCGGGGGCGAACATGAACAACCCCATTCTGACAAACGAGAACTACGCGTTCGGGCTCGACGCACTGCCGATGCTGCTTGCGCTTGGGTTGCTCAACGCTGTGCATCCAGGAATCGTTCTCAGGGGCGACAACAGCGAGTTCCCTCGGCTGTCGCTGAAGGAGAAGAAGCAGGTGAAACTAGAAAGGAAGACTGCCAAGAAAGAGTCCAAGCTAGCCGAGAAGGCGGCGAAGGGGCAGAAAAAGGCTGGCTTGGATGTGGATGATGGTGACTACGTTGCTATCGAGGAGATAACGCTGGCAGCGGAAGAAAATGAAAGCGAGGTCAGGACAGGCGCCAGGGGAGCTCATGTTTAGAGAGAAAGACTGCAACTACCCTTGACAAGCGGCCTCTGTACCGTAATGCGTAAATCATTATAGCATAGCTCGGGCGTTTTGGCAGTTAAGATGGACCTGTGATACGTCCGAGGACAGCAATCTTGGTCGCGTTGACGCCAATCGGACTCTTGGCAATGTCGTCATGAAACAATACAGCGTTGCCTCTGGGATGCATGCATGGTTGCAATGGACTGCATGTGCAGACGCCGGCATGTGGTTACTGGGCTTTGGGCGAAATCGCAAGTGAAGCTTTCGGAGGATTGAGACATGTCCCTCGCAGCTTGGGATGATGATCCTCCGAGTTGCAGTTCCTCTCATGTCCAGTGTCCTGGTGCCATGTAAGGTCGCATGTACGTACCGGGAGACCCTGACTGCCTGATTCGACAGCTTCGCCACGGCGATCTCCCCGAAACGGGGTTTAGCGCGTGTTAAAAAAAGCACCATGACTGCCGCCAGCCTACGATCACTGGACACAGTGGTACTGTGCTTGCCGTGCACTCTTTCCACTGTTATACAGTGCGAAGTACGTGTATAATGTCCGGAGGATCTGGCTTGGTGGAGGCAGCGCAAACAAGCGAGAAGGACGCGCCTCGACGGGGACGGCCCCTGCCACTGGCGCAAACCCACTTCCTTCTGGAGTTCCAACTTCATTCCCCCCCGTTGGCCCGTTGGCCCGTTGGGCGTTGGATCCCAAACTCCTTCAATATTCCCCATCGAACGAGTTCTTTCACCATTCTTGCCTCATCCCTGTCGATTCAAACTTGAACCAACATGCAATTTTGACAAGTTGGGCCCTCGAGGACAGTGAAAGAAGACCAACGTCGCCCTCAACATCGTCTTGGACCATGGCGGACAGG